GTTGACAAGCTGATTCTTGAATGAGAATATTTGGATTGAATGTGAGGGTGATGGGTTTGTTATGTCCCATTTACCGGATGTTTAGGTGCAGGTAAACGTGTCAGCAGGACACTGTGAGGTAACTGCTCAAAAGAATGGCAGATGAAAGTGCTAATGTGTACAAGGTGATGACGAGCCCCAGTGCTTTGTGGGAGCCATTGGCAGCTCTCCTGCCTCCCCAAGGGCATTTTGCATTTCATGTCTGCCTTGGCAAGAGAGCCGCGTTCTGCCTTCCAGCTGCAGTTAAGAAGGGAAGAGGTTCAGTGGTGGCTCATGAAAAACCAGTTTCATTCCCTTGCATCAAATGGGTGGTTTGACCTCCACACCCTGCTTGTTGACTTTCTTCATCAACCACCCCGCTTGAAAAAGAGAGAGAGGAACTGAAGGCTCCCGGCTTCAGCTCGATGGGAGATTGAGTGTTACAGAAAACGGGGGGTACACCCAGTCACATTTCGGATAGGGAATGCTTGGACCCCTGCCTGTTCAACTCACGGTCTGTTCGCCAGCTGTGAATGGGGTGCCAGTTTTTCATCAAAAGGTTCAGCCTTGTTCTTTAGGTTCCTTTTCATGCATTCAAAAAGTACAATACAGTGCAATCAGTCGTATTTCCCGCACGGAAATTCTCTCCCAGTCCAGTGGGGATTCTCCTTCTCCGCCCCCACAGACCTGATGTTGATGCATGCTACTCAGCAATCAGTCACACAAACAGTGAACAAATCAGCCCCGCCAATTATTATAACCACCATTTAACCCCACCACATATACACAGCCTTAACATTTGGTGTTCACTTCTATCCATGCTATTTGCACTGCATTATGCGAGTTGTAGTTCACCACTCACATCATTTAATGACCAGACCCAACCATCCTCTTGTCTGTTGTACAGATGCAAAGGCCTTTGGGAAACAGGGAAATAGAACTCCTCTACCCCAAGGAAACTAAACTCCACTGGCACAAATAGTGCACGGCTGCAGAGCTGTTCGATGGCCATTCAAGCCAAACGGTGGACAGGTGAACAGACTGGGCTCACAGGTGAACATGGCATATTTACCTGTCAAACATGGCATCCCAGATTTGGGGATGCTTAGACTTGATAGGGAAAAAAGTCTCCTTTTTATGATGTATAACTCTAGAAATTTGCCAGCAGTTCACTAAGGCAAATGAATTAATATGGGTCTTAACATCACAGAATCATACAGTTGGAAGGGCCATACAGACCATCTAGTCTAACCCAGATAAGGTTGACTAGCAGTAACCACATTGCCAACTGGATAGTGGAATTCATTCCCCCAGGGCTTTTTTTGTAGAGTAAGCCCAGCAGGAACTCATTAGCATAATAGGCCACACCCAACAGCAGAAATACATTAGCATATTAGGCCACACCCCTGACAGAGCAGCTCATTAGCCTAATAGGCCACACCCCCACATTGCCAGAAGTGTGGTCATTCAGCCACACCCACCTTTTGCTTCTTATTCTGTTTACCTTGTTTGTTGTCCAAACCCAGGGCTTTTTTTGTAGCAGGAACCCTTTGCATGTTAGGCCACACACCCCTAATGTAGCCAATCCTAATGAGTTTCTGCTGTTGGGTTTGGCATATTATGCTAATGAGTTCCTGCTGGGTGTGGCCAACTCGGGAGCCAGACGGAACTCCGTTCCTGTGCATTCCTGCCCCAAAATAGCCCTGCATTCCCCAGACAGCTTCCCATTGCAATTGAGGGTATTTTGTCTTTGGTAGGGTGCCATACATGGCTTGGAAACTGTGTTTGGCTTGAACATACGAAGCTGCCTTGTTCAGAAGTTACAGCGAATGTACTTAGGCAGGGTACATTTGATTTTTATTGAAATGTGCTCCTCTTATGATCAATGCATATACTGCATTTTACTGTGTGATTTTAAACCTCCCATTTATGCAAATACCAGCCCTCAGTTTCATTGGTAAAGTGGACATGCGTTGGCTGTTTCTTACAGACAGATATAGCCACACGTATGCAGAATGTACATTCGTTCACTGTGACATGTGCACGCGGCTTTTCGGTCAGACCATTGGGCCATCAAGGTCAGTACTGTCTAGAATGGCAGTGTCTCTCCAGGATCTCAGATCAAGTTCTTTAACATCACATTTTACCTGATCCTTTTAATTGGAGTTGCCAGGGTTTGGACCTGGCACTGTCTACACTTAAAGCAGGTGGTCTACCGTTCATGGCCCCATGAATTAATGATTGTGAAGGCCTGCCAGTTTGGTGTAGTGGTTAAGAGCAGCAGACTCTAATCTGGAGAACCGGGTTTGATTTCCCAGTCCTCCACATGAAGCCTGCTGGGTGACCTTGGGCCAGTCACAGTTCTGTCAGAGCTGTTCTCTTCAGAGCAGTTCTCTCACTCATCCCTACCTACCTCACAGAGAGCTTGTAAGCCACTCTGAGATTCCGAGTGAAGGGCAGGGTATAAGTCCAATCTTCTTAGTGGGTTGAGATGGGAGAGTCAGGGAAGTGACCTCAGTTCTCTGGCTTTGTGTGAAATGCATGTTTTGCTGGACCCTCAGTAATGACAGGATGCCGGGGGGGTGGGTTGCTCCAAAACTCACAAAGAAGATCCAGGATGTTGAAGAAGAAAAATAATTTGGGGGGAATAAAAATGTTTTTGCCAGCAAATGTGTTTTGTGGAATTTCATGTCCATTAAAGGACATGTGGATGAATATTACTTTGCAAAAATTTCCATGCCTTTGACTATTTGGAACTTTGGATATTGGTAAACTTCACACATGGGGCTATAAGATGTGGTGGGGGTGGGGGTGGGAAGATGGAGACAGAGATGAACCTGGGGTCATAATATCCCTGGCAAATCAATGTTTTCCTTCAATATCTAGTGATGTTCTATTCAAAGAAAAACAATTGCCTTACTGTTATTTGCAGCCAAGACAACCATAGCATCGAAGTGGAAATCAGAAAGTAAACCAACCTTAAACTTATGGTATAAGAGATTATGGAATCTATATATAATGAAACCAACAAAAACTAATGGCGGGTATAGTGAACACTAGTATATGAGCCAGTTTGGTGTAGTGGTTAAGTGTGCAGACTCTAATCTGGGAGAACCGGGTTTGATTCCCCACTCCTCCACTTGCACCTGCTGATCTGACCTTGGGTCAGTCAGAAGCTCTGGCACAGCTGTCCTTGAAAAAGAGCAGTTTCTGTCAGAGCTCTCTCAGCCCCACCCACCTCACAGGGTGCCTGTTGTGGGGAGGGGAAGGGGAAGGAGTTTGTAAACCGCTCTGAGACTCTAATCTGGGAGAACCGGGTTTGATTCCCCACTCCTCCACTTGCGCCTGCTGATGTGACCTTGGGTCAGTCACAAGCTCTGGCACAGCTGTCCTTGAAAAAGAGCAGTTTGTGTCAAGAGTTCTCTCAGCCCCACTGACCTCACAGGGTGTCTGTTGTGGGGAGGGGAAGGGAAAGGAGTTTGTAAGCCCCTCTGAGACTCCAAGTGATGGTCGGGGTATAAATCCAATCTCCTCCTCCTCCTATATGGCTACCTATCCTATCATAGCTAGTTTCTCAAGAGATTACCAGTGGTAATAGACACTCTTCACCTGTGGTAAATAGAGGTGATGATGTTAATGCTAAGTTTATGTTAATATAATATATTAGTACTAAGTTTATGAAAGAAAAAAACCATCACTTTTAAGCCGATGTATATCCAACTGTGATTTGAATGTTCCCTTGTAAGTGGTCAAGCTGTGATATAAACTTATCCTATATAATGGTGATATTATGTATTGTAAATGGACAATTGAAAATTGAATAAAATATTTTTTTTGAAAATATCTAGTGATGTTGGAAGTAGTTATACAAAAAGGGTGAGTGGAATCAGCACACTGAGGCAGGATTTCTAAATTGCACCAGTCCTGTAGCCTTTCCTTTCCTTTCCTTTCCTTTCCTTTCCTTTCCTTTCCTTTCCTTTCCTTTCCTTTCCTTTCCTTTCCTTTCCTTTCCTTCCCTTCCCTTCCCTTCCCTTCCCTTCCCTTTCCTACTAGGAATTTTCCTGATCCAGTTCTGTGGATACCAAAACCATCACGTTTTATTTTCTCTTCCAGTAGACCCATGAGTTCATATAAAGGTTGCTGACAAGAGTGAAATCACCGCTCACTTTCAGATGTTCAAAGAGAAAACTTCTTTGTATCTTTGTAACCTTAAATGCAACCCAAGACCTTTTGCACCGAGCCTAATTGAGTCCTCTTTTGCCTAGCGTCTCTCCTTACAGTTTAAGACGGTCACAAGCAGTGGATTAAGGGTTTGTTCATTCGGCCCAGCAACACCTCCCAGCTCCCCCCTCCCCCCACACTTTTTGAGGGGGGAGGGAATGGGTTCCTGAACATCTAACACAATTAACAGTTTTGATGAGAATGCTTACTTGCATAACTGTGCCAGTCTAGCAGGCCCCCGTCAAGGTACTGGGCTACTGTTACCTTAGGAAGTTTAGTTCTGGTTTTGGTGCAGGGTGGACAGTGAGAGAGCCACAGCAGCGTCACCCAGTGGGTGCCATCAGTTTGTAAGCCTTGGTCATGGCTGCGGAGTGGGCGATGGTGCAGCACCAGGTGTAGGAATGCGTGTCAAAGCTGTGGGATCTCCTGAGTGAGTTGTTTTGGCATCTCAGGCCCCGAGCCCTTGACCCCAGATGGAATTTGGCAAAAGCAAATGACCGTAGATTTGCTGGAATTCTCCCCCATCAGGCCAGGGTGTCTAGAGCGACACACGGCAGGGAATGCGAAGAATGTGCCAGGGGAGCGGCAGCACCTCCTCGCTAAAGTGCTGGGGGGGGGGGAAGAGGGAAGGAGGGGGAGCCTCTCCGCCGTGGATGGAGAAACCAGTTTGATCCCCTGCAGGGCAAAAACACACACCCACAGTGTCATCTCCCTCCCAAAACAAGGCTGGGCCTTGGCTGAGGCTCATTCTGCCTTGCCCACGTTGCAGGGGAGAGCTCGGCACTGGCGAGGAGAGCGCTCGGGCCACAGCTGAGAGAGAGAGTCCTGTTAAATGCTCGAAGCCCTTGGGAGAAGGAAGCCACTGCAGAGAGGGCTGACGCATGTAAGTACCACTCTCCCTGTTGCGAGGGGCGAGAGCGCCTGCCTCCCACTGCCCTTTCGCTGCTCCCGCCTCCTTTCTTTGTTTTACCCCCTTGAAGTTTGCACCAAGGGGGGTCGTAGAACAAAGGCCCTCCTACAGTGAGTGAACCGATCGTGCCTGGAGAGTTGTTGCCTAGAAGAATCCTGGGTCTTTCAGCTTTTGAGGCTGAAAAGCTGCTCTGAGTTATTGCTTATTCCAAATCAACTGATCTGCGCTCGGAAGATCGACTGCCTGGCCGATCGCTCTTTCCTCTGTGATAGTTTCCGCTTTCCCCTTTCTTCACATGCTTCTCCTCTCTTCCGGTTTAGGCTCACAACAACCCTGTGAGGTAGGGTATGTTGAGAAAACGCTTCATTACAAAGGAGCACTCTGTGAACCAATGCCTCCTTCTAAGCTGTGGAGTCTTGTGAGCAAAAATTCTACTTTGTGAGCTACTTGGCACGAAAGTTGGGAGCGAGCGATTTGGCGACAGCATAAATTAGTTCGCTCTGGTGCCGTCCTTCCTGAGCTAAGACAAAAATGTCTGAGCCGGAGGCTAAAAAACTGTGAGCTAGCTCACACGAACTCACCTTAGAGGGAACACTGGTTTGAACACAGATTCCCATGGTCCATTGCTTTCGCCAGTCTTTCATGTTTCTATCCCGTTCTTCCAAGAGGCTCTGAAGAATTAACTTAGGTTCCCTCCCCACCTTCTAGCCTCCCAACAGCCCTGCGGTGTAGGTTATACTGAGATATGGTGACTGGAGAAATACACAGACTTTCTGAACTCTCCAGCTTGTCAGAAGCGCCAACCAGACCATCAGATACGATGTAAGGATGTTCGCTACTTTCCCAAGGATGCAGCAAGGAAATTTGTTTTAAGGGGGTAAAATGCTGTCCGTAACTCCCAGGGAGATGGGCTTGCCATCAAGTGTTTGGGTAATGTAATAGATGTCTCTCTGACAAGCTTTGCTTTAACAGCCAGTCTTCATTGGTTAACAGCAAGTGCTGATTGATTATTATTCCTGTCACGGCCCTTGCAACAAGCTCAAATCCCACTGGTGCAGTTCCCCTAAGATGGGGGTAAGGTTAAAAGCAGTACCTGTTGCATTTGTGTCTGGCATGCCATAGTCAAAGCCCAACAAGAAAGGCAGTGGTTAATGTAACACCAGAGCATCACAGTGTGGAGAGAATAAAAGGTGTTCCCTTCAGTAGACGAGGTGCCAGAGACCGCTGTGGGTTAGGGATGCCAGCCTCCAGGTGGGCCTGGTAATGAATAAGTAAACACTGCAAGACGTGTATACATTGTGTTCTATTTATAACTATCATTCTATAAAGTGCATAATGTGCTATTATTGCATCCTTATCTGGGACATGTATTCAATTCATTTAGTTTAGCAACTACCAGTCAATTTCGCATCAATTTTTTTAAAAAAGTCAAAAAAAAATTGATGTGAAATTGACTGGTAGTTGCTAAACTGAATGAATTGAATACATGTACCTGATAAGGCAGGAGCTGCGGTGGCTCAAGTGGTTAAGACGCTGAACTGCAGGCTGTGGAAGGTCAGTAGTTCAGCAGTTCGAGACCCAGGTGCCGCATGATGGAGTGAGCTCCCATCTCTAGTTCCAGCTCCTGCCAACCTAGCCGTTCGAAAGCGAGAAATTGCAAGGAGATAAGTAGGTACCACTTCGGTGGGAAGGTAACAGCGTTCTGTGCACCTTGGTGTTTAGTCATGCCAACCAACATGACCACGGAAACGTCTTCAGACAGCGCTGGCTCTTTGGCTTTGAAACGGAAATGAGCACTGCAACCCTAGAGTCGGATTCGACTGGCTTTCGAGCAAGGGAACCTTTACCTTTTTTACCTGATAAGGATGTAATAGTAGCACAATATGCACTTTATAGAATGAGAGTTACAAATAGAACGTGTTAACTTATACATCTCTTGCAGTGTATATTTATTCGTCACCAGGCTTTCCTAACACTGCAGCTCAGGTTGCTACAGCCTCCAGGTGGGACCTGGGGATCCCCTGGAATTATAGTTCACCGCCAGACTACTGAGATCAGTTCCCCTGGGGAAAATTGGTGCTAAGGAAGGAGGACTCTATGGCATTGTACCCCGCTGAGGTCCCTGTCCTCCCCAGGCTCCATCCCCATATCTCCAGGAGTTTCCCCCCCTGAATCTGGGAACCCTACCCCCCTCATCCCCCACCCACTGGTGGCCAAGGAGAACCTGGCGACCCTACTGTGGGTTGATGCTCGGGAGATCTGATATTTGCAGCATCCGGCATGGCGATTTCCCCACCATTTGGACTGAGGTTCTATCCCAATCAGAATGAAGGGAATGTTTGCAGAAGGGAGGAACCAGCAATGTGAGCAGTGCTGGGGAGCCCTTCCTTTGGTCCAATTTTCCACCTGACCACAAGCCCAGTTATCTCTGTCTCCACACCCAATGCCTCTAGCTGTCATCCCAGGAAAGAGGCGTTAAGTGCTCGTTTTATGATTGAATTAAGGAGGAAGGTAATTGGCTTCCGTTAGGGTGCTTTCTGCGCCTGTCAGCTTGGGGGAGGGGACGACATTTTCTTTAAATAGCACAACCGATCTCTGGGTTTATTGGGTGCAGGTAAAGGCACGTATCCTACCGTAGGCTGGAGAAGCTGTCACCAGCCCAAGGAGTCTTCCTCCAGCTTAATGGGCTGCTCTGTTGGAGAAAGAGCCATTTAAGTCAGAGGAAGAACTCCTTAGGCTGGAGGAAGGCCCCCAACCTTGCTCAGTGGAGTGTTAGGACACATGCCATAGCAGGCGAAGGCGAAGGCGGCGTGTGAGTTGTCTATGATTTCGTCCAGTGTTGTATTTAGTATTGAATGCAGGAGTGAATAGGCAAGTTTCTAGTCCTTATGGTAGGCATGGTAGGTCTTGAAAATCTGGGGTGATCTGAGTAGGATTTCCACTGGTTCGCGGGGAAAGCTTCAGTACCCAGAGTAGCTCCTCCTTTAGCTTGCAGGAGGAGAATAATTTATGCAAATGAATCCAACATATGCAAATGAGCCAAGAGATGCAAACCTATACCATTTACGCAAGTCACAGAAATTGATTACGTAAGCTTATTAGAACTGCAGTTGTTCCAACCAGGATAACTTAGATGGGGGGGGGGTTGCCTCTGAGTGGCGTGGTCAGCCTAAGAGTCTCCTCCGCTCTTAGGTTTCTGTCCCAATTATGACCCCCCCCACACACACACCTCTGTCCTTTGCTGCCATGCATGGGTCATTCCTCCATCTCTTCTATTTCTGTAACTAGGACGGTGCCGGCCATCCATGACCCCTTCCACTTATGCTGAGGCAGGCTTGTGCCTAATTGATTGGATCAGCTCCACGTGTATAATTTGTGGGTTATGCATCATTCATTTGGCTCCCCGTGAACTTATATGTTTCTTTTAGCTTGTTTATTTGATTTGATTTATGCTTAGATGGCTTTTTGAAAGCAAAGACGAGACACGCTTATAGAGGCCAGGTTGTCATCAGCTATCACTTATATCTAATAGCAAAGGGGCTGTGGCCCAAAGCCAGTTGTGGAAGCAGCGAAACCAGGCCACCCGCAGCCCAGGCAATTATTTCTAAATAGACAACTCCTTGGATGTGCAGGAAAGATCTGACTTGGCAAAATTAACGGAGAGGGAAAAGAGAACTCAAAAGCGCCCCGAGGAAGACCGAGCATGATCCTGAAGGCACAGAATGCTATGAGCAGCTGGAAGTCGGCTAAAAGAAAAAAGGGGCAGTGAACCAGTTCAGATGTCTGAGAGCTCCAGAGATTTCTGGCAAGCTGCTCCCTGTCCCCAGCACAGCTATTTCTAATTTCCTTGCCAAGAGAGGAGATGCAGAGAATGATCCTATAACGCCATTCTACCAGCTGCTGCTGTGGACTGCGGGGTGCGCAGGCATGCTGACTTCTGTTGCCGGGGTGGGGGGGGGGGGGGGAAGGCTTTGCCTGCAGAATGCTGTATGCGGCACAAATCCTCTGCTCGCCAAGGTAGAAAGGAAGGGGCTGAAGGCTAGCTCCCTTCAGTCCACCATCTCCCCGGGGACGAGGGCCAAAGAGGGAAGGTCTTGCTTACCCTCCACACTTCAGGCTTAAACCCATTACAGGAACAGGACTCAGATACACTCATCCCTTAATACAGGTTCTCAAGAAGACCTCATGGGAGGGAGAATAAAGTTACTTTCCGTGTTTTGGTCCTGAGCCAGGTAAGGGATGTTCATGAGGACCAGTGTCATGTCCCAAGAGTTCTTGAGATGCAATGCCAGTTTCTCCAAAATTCCCTTTCATGCCATTTTCCATGGAAACCTTGGGCAAGAAGGCCTTTGAGGTTCCCAGCATATTCTGAAAAGTCTCCACTCATTGGCAGTCACAGCTAAGTTACATATTAATGTTTAGCAGTACCGTGTGCCTCTGATAAGCAACTTTTAGGAACAGATGCTAGCTCTGTACTTTGCTCGAGGGTTTCCCATCTAACCGGTCCTTTTTGGAGGTGGATTGCTGGACTACACAGAGCTTTGTCAAATCCACTGAAACACTTTTTACAGCTTTTTTTCTGCTTTCCTCCTTTCCTTGCGCTCTCTACACCTGTCCCTTAAGCTAACATGTTTTTAAAAAAATGAGAACAAATCTTCAATCAAATTGCAATGTTCGATTTTCCGGGGTGTATGATACTGAATTGTTTTTTCTTCCGATAAACTGTGGCCAAGCTGCTGCCAGGGACCGCGCCATTCAATAAAACTGTGGTTTGTAAATCCAGATGTTACAACAGACCACAATTATTTATCACCTGCAGTAGTTAACAAATCCCAGGTCGGAATCCCTGTTTGGTGCCAGCCAACTAACCCAGGCTTGTCTGACTGTCTGCATTCAGATGTCACAACTACCAGTTCCCTGAAAGGAAGACTAGGTTTTTATCCATGTGCTATTAAGAAAAAGAAAGGGCCATC